AGGCATCCCACCAGATCCTGGGTGCAGCTCACAGACCCCAGTAAAAAAGGACCCCCTCGCCTCAGCGCCAAAGGCCATGTGGGGGCAAGATGAGCCTCACATTGCCCGGAGGGCCACACCTCCTGCTTCTTTTCTTACTAAAAAGAGCGATTCTGGTCATGTTTTCCTGGCTGACATTACTCTTCTGTTTGCCTGGCATTTTCTCTCTGAGCAAAACCCAGTGCTTCTCTTACCTTATTTAATTCATTCATCATTGTGGCTTCTAAGGAAGGAAGATCCATATGCCCATCTTGTAGATTAAAAGATCAAGACCCAAAAGTTGACTGGCCCAGAATCATCAAGGCAGAGAGACAGAAAGAGAGAGGGTGTTAATTTCAAGTTTCTAGACACTGGTGCCCTGTTGATTTCTGGAATTGTGGAATTGGGCTCTCAGCTGGTTTTAGAAGCTCTAAGAAAGGGGCTCCTTGGTGGCTCGGTCAGTTAAGTATCTGACTTCATCTCAGGTTATGATCTTGTGATTCATGGGTTCAAGCCCCATGTAGGGCTCTGTGCTGACAACTCAGAGCCTGGAGCCTGCTTTGGATTCTGTGTGTGTCTCTCTTTCTGCCACTCCCCTGCTCATGTTCTGTCTTCTTCTCTCTCCCCAAAATAAATAAAACATTAAAAAAAAATTTTAGAAGCTCTAAGACAGCTATAGTTCTAAGTCCCTGAAGCACAGGTTTCTGAAAAGTTCCTGTGGTTGAATACACCCTCAGCAGGTCCTCTCTGGGGTTCCTCCTGCAAGGCAGTTGTGTCTGTCTTTGAAAACAGATACGTGGTTAGTTCTATAGAACCTGACATTCACATCATAAAAACCACCATGCTCTGTAAAGTAACCCAATAAAAACCATGTGGTTTATGGGGACAAAATAGGGTTAAGTGCACAATACTCAAAACTTCTTCAATGACACCCTTTAAAAAGATAAGAATCTAATAAAACATTAGTAGAGTTTTACACCTGTTCCACGGTTAAGAAATACGTAAATGCTGTACAATAATAAATATGGCACTTTACCTTGAAAACAGTCCTGAAGTTTGCCTATGGAAGCAGGCATCAGAAGGGCTATAGCTTAAGAGTTGATGTGAAGTAGTAGATGGAAGGTTGTCAGAAATTGAAGGAAAATTCTAACTCCAGTGTGGACTGGTGTGGCTTATAGCACATGCAGTGAACTGATGGTATTTGGTAGATGTTCAAAGTATGTGTGCGTGCATGTGTGTGTGTGTGTGTGTGTGTGTGTGCACATGCGCATGCGTGTATGTACGTGCATGCACACTAGTATGGTTAGTGTTGTCCTATGTGGCTCCACTCAGCTGGGTGCAGATTTCTGCATTCCTCAAGTGTGAACTTCATGTTACAGTCAGATTATCCCATATTTGTCAGTAGAATTGGAACAGATCCACACTTTCAATACCAACATTGCCACAGGACTGATGGCATTTTATCCTTCTGCCTGAAGGGATGCTCCCTTTTTCTAGAGCACAGCTGCTCAAAGCAGCTGAGGGCTCATTCCTTCATTCAGGAAATACTCACAGTTCCAGGTCCTCTGTTAGGCTCTGAGGATGCAACAAAGAGTAAAAAGCCATCCTTTCCTTTGGGAGGGAATGAAAAGTATCCTATCATCAGAACACTATAGTGCAGGGTGACCGACTCCTGCCGTGGGTCTCAACTAAATGTAAAATACAGAGGCACCTGGGTGGCTTAGTCGGTTAAGTGTCTGACTTCGGCTCAGGTCATGATCTCACAGTTCATGGGTTCAAGCCCTGCATGGGGCTCTGTGCTGACAGCTAGCTCAGAGCCTGGAGCTTGTTTCAGATTCTGTATCTCCCTCTCTCTCTCTCTCTCTCAGAAATAAATAAAACATAAAAATAAATAAATAGATAGACAAATAGATAAATAAATAAATGTAAAATACAAAGGCCAAAGCAGATAACTACCAGGATGAATTGAAGAGAGCTCCACAGAGGAGGTGGCATTTAACCTTCTTAAAAGATGTGGCATGAAGGAGGGAAGAGCTTTCCAGGCAGAGGGAAGAGCAGATGCAAAGGCACAGAGGTAGGAGATGGCAGGGCCAATGGGACGAATGGAAGGTGCTTTGACATGGCCGTTTGGGATGTCATGGGAGATGATACAAGTAAGGTGAGCTGGAGTCACAAAGGTCTGATTCTGCTAATTTTGGTCTTGGGGTTTTTCCAGAAGACAGCAAGGGGCCATCATAGGTCTCCAAACAGGGCAGTGACATGGTGGTACGAGTTTGTTTGAAAAAGAAATTCCAAGCTCCAGCCAGGAAAAGAGTGCCCTAGAGGTGGGTGCTGGTGCAGGAAATAGAACATAGAGATGCTGGCTTCTGGAACCCATAAGCTTCTTTCATGTGTTGATGTGTTTGTCTCTAGATTCTAGCTGGGATGACTTTTACTGCTATGCTGTGGTTCATAGGACCAGTGGTGGGGGCATGGACAATTAGTGACTTGAGCCAGGAAGGGAGCAGAAGGTACACGGCCACGTCTAGCATTATCATATCTCCTGTGGGACCTCTGGGGCTGTTAACCTGGCATCTTAGGCATCCTGACCCAGAGCCCTTATGGTATATTCATTTCCAGAGCTTGTAATGGTGAAGAAAGAAAGGATGGATGCTATTCCACTCCCCGAGCACAGTACCTGGCACATGATAGGTACTCAATAAAGTTTTGTGATCTCAGCCTCCTGAAGACATCTTTTAAACAAAGACAGTCCCAAATAGAAGGAGCTGAGGTATCTCGTGCCAAACATGTTCTGGGGACTTTCACATCCACTGAATCGTCCATCTTCCTCCCTGTGATCCTAAGGGGCAGATAATGTTAACAGCAGAGAAACTGAAGCTCAGAGAGGTTAAGTAACTTCCCCAAGGTCACACAGCTAATATGTGGGAGAACCAGGATTTAAACCCAAGTTGCCTGACTCCAGAGCCTCCTCCACTTTGCTTCTCCTTTGAAGCGCCGTTCTGAACTTGTGAAATACACAAGGACCTGGCCTCTCTCTTTTCTCTGACAAGAACCTCTATTTCTGAGGAATTGCCAGTGGATAACTTGGGATCCACCTTCCACCTCCACACCCCCTTTAAGGTGGCTGCTTGATTACAGCCACCTTCTCTGGGTCCAGAGTGACTGCCAAACTCCTTGGTGAGAGAAGCACTGGTGGGAAAGGTTACAGATGAATCTGGAGCAGGTGAGCAACCCCATGTCCAGCCCCCACCACACTCTGCACTGAGAACAGCTCCCTCCCCACAGCAAGCAGACCTCGGGCTCAGAGATGCAGAAGCTAGAACTCACCCAGGACAATGACGGCAGAGCTGAGATCAAACAGGGGTGATCCCCTACCTCCCAGCCCAATGTTACCACTTAGCCGGAGGTCTAGGTCCCTCTGCCTTTTTTTTTTTTAAGTTTATTTATTTATTTTGAGAGAGAGAGAAAGCGCAATTGGGGAGGGACAGAAAGTGAGTGAGAGAGAGAGAGAGGGAGAGAGAGAGAGAGAGAGAGAGAGAATCCCAAGCAGGCTCTGCACTGTCAGTGAACCTGAACTGAAGTCTGATGCTTAACCAACTAAGCCACCCAGGTGCCCCAAGGCCCTTCTGTCTTTAAACAGAACAGCTCCACCCTTACATTTCTCATAAAATGAAGCTCTGCAGGGGGAGAAAACAAGGTTTGAAAAATACAGCAGCCTTGGGCTACCCTGGCTGGATTCTAACAAATGGCTCTTGATTCTCTTCTGCCAGGCTCCTCCTAAAGAAGGCTTTGTTTCCTGTGGATATCCCTGGTTAATTATTTTTAAATACATAATTATGTAGCCTGCAGTAGGGGAGAAGCCTCCCCATGACCCATATTTGATCATCAGAGGACGGGCCCTCTTCCTTTGGCCAAATTAAATAGGCTAAAACCAGAATCTGTTTGACTTGAGGCTGAATCGATGATGGGGACAGGCTGGGAGGTGAACACACACCTGACTCCCAGCGTTATCACCACTTTCTCAGGAGCAGAGCATCTTGGGGAGGTAAATAGCTGGTGAGGGAGTCAGAGAAAGCAAGAGAAAAACAAGGTGAAGTCCAGTCCCTCCAAAAGGAAAGAATGAGAGAACAGGGGTCAGACTTGCCTCCCAAATGGCTTCCAAGGCAAAACACATCAGTGGTTCTTCAGAGTAGGATTCTTGAGAAACTACGCTCCATGGACAGGTCGTTCCATTCAGTACTTGAAATCTGCCCTAAGTTGCCTAGCATTCTAGAGACTTAAGGCAAATATCCTGGGGTCCATCCCCATACCAGCTCCCCCCTGATCCATAGTTACCATTTCTTTAGCATCATGGTAGGAGTCTTCTAGATATCTTTTCTTATCCAGAATTAGCCCTGTTAAGGAAGTGTTCCCTCCATTTTATGAGAGGAGATGAAGGCACAGAGAGAGAGAGAAGTAATTTTTCCAAGATCACACATCTCCTAAGGACAAGGTGGGACTTGAGCCTGAATTTGTTTAGCTCCTGAGCCCATAGTCTTCCCCCTGTCCCTCATCAGAAAATTCTTCCTATTATTGCTTTAAAACCTGCCTCCCTCTGTTCCATCGGATCTTCTCTGCCTCCTGAACTCACAAGGCACAGATCTATCTTCTTCTATGTAACAACACTGTTGGATGTATCCTGCCAAGAGCCCAGTGGTAAATGTGAGTGGAGAAAAAGGACCCACTATGATCCAATGGGATGAATAGAGGGTGGGAAATAGGAGACCCAGGGGCTGCAGATAGGTGTGGAGGAACACAGGCAGGACTGGGGAGGGGGTGTTGGTTTGGAGGCAGAGAAGCCTTCCTCCTTTTAACCTCATAGCTCCTGTTCTCCCAAAAGTGTGGTGCCCCAGACCAATAACCACCAAATTCCAATGCTGTCTCTCTGCCACCATCACCCCCACTGACAGCCCCTTGAGTCAAAGGATGAGGACAACAACCAATAGAGGAAGCTCAGAGAACATGCATCATCAAGCCATTCAGAGTCAAACACGTTGCTCTTGAAGGTTAGAACCCTGCCTTAGCATTTGTTTGTTTTCTTCCCAGCCCCCTTAAGCTCTAGGTCATGTCAGCCTTGGGTAACATCCTTCAGATGATCCTTGGGTCTCTTCTTGGAAAGCTTCATCTTAGTGATTTGTAAGGCTTCTGGTTATGGCGGCTTGCCTGGCCCCGGGGAAGGGGCGTTATAGCCTCCTGGGGCAGGTGGGGCTCCACCTGCAGGGGAAAACAGACCAACAAATAGAATCAGTATACTTTATACAGGGACGGTTCATCCTGGGAAAGCTGGCAAAAGGAGAAGTGCAGCCAGATAATTGGCCCACCCCTCCAAATAATTGTGTGCCCATAGCATTGCTCTCTCCCTTCCAGGTAGAAACAGGATCCCTCAAACCTTTTTGTCAAATCCAAAGCGCAACACAAGAATACGGTCTTTGTAGGCTTTGAGCTTAGGGTGAGATGCCCCAGCTACCCCCCAGCTTTGTCTTTGGCTATTTCACGGGCACATCCAGCAGGACTTGGACTCTGCAAACTAGGTCCAGGTTACTTGCACCCCTTCAGTAAGCCTTCTCTGCCCAGTGCTTTCCCTTTCCTGAGCACAGACCTCTTTTTTGGTTCCTGCGCAAGAGGGAGGGTTAGAGCAGTGAGGCTGTAAACATGCTTGGTTCTCCCCTCCCTTGCAGACCAAACTGCAGTGGTTTACTAAAGCATCCACATCCTGGCTGTGTGTGCTGCCTGCCCCACCTCCCGGCAGACGCGCCTTCCCCTGGGCCCTGGAAGTCAGCCAAATGGGACCCCATCAAAGGAATGTGAGTTCCAGAGCCACGGACGCTCAGCTGCAGCCCCATTCCAGTCCTGCTCTGCCTGTGACCCCCCGGCCTTTTGGGCTCAGCCAAAATAGTGGTGCACAGAGACTGATACCTTCCACTTTGGCTCTTACAGGGCTCCCTGGGCAAGTGCCTCTTTGTAGGACGGGTCTCTTCATACTTTGCAGCCCCACATTGCCAAGAGATGTCAGAGAAACATTTCTAGAAGACATTTTGAAGAATAAAAGAAATACTCTAGTTAGGAAGAGAAGGCCAATCTTAGCCCCTAAGTCCTACAAGAAGTATACTGAAGCAAGAATAAGCAGAATACTTTTGTTTGCTCACTCATTTGTTCATTCATTCATTCATTCCTCTGACAGATATTTATTTTATTTTTATTTATTTCTAGGAGAGAGAGAGACAGTGTGAGCAGGGGAGGGTCAGAGAGAGAGGGAGACACAGACTCTGAAACAGCCTCCAGGCTCTGAGCTGGCAGTCAGCACAGAGCCCGACGTGGGGCTCGAACCCACGAACCACAAGATCATGACCTAAGTGAAAGTCGGACGCTTAACCAACTAAGCTTAACCGACTAAGCTTAACCGACTAATCTGCCCCCGACAGATATTTATTGAGTGGTTACCAAGTGCAAGGCACTGGGGATACAGCAATGAACAAAAGAAAACAGACAAAAATGTCATGCCCTCAAGGAGCTTATGTTCCAGAATTAAGTAGAGTCCACGCTAGCCTTTACCCTGGAGAAAGCCAGCCAGTGTTTCTCATGGGAAACGGGAGAAGAAGGCAACTTTGGATTCTTGTCATCCACCGTGTGAAAACAAGGAGAGCTGAGTTTGTGTTCCAGGGCCCTGGGGGCACTCACATCTGCTGTTGGGTCTGTCTTGTTTTGCAGGAGTGCGTTACAGCCAGCCGGGAAACAGTGAGGTCACTTCCTCTTCAACAATCAGTCACCATGGCAACAATGCCATGGTGACCAGCCAGTCTGTTTTACAGCAAGTCTCTCCAGCCAGTCTGGACCCTGGCCACAATCTCCTCTCACCTGATGGTAAAATGGTGAGTACACCTGGGCCATTGTAGCTCTGGAGCTGATAAGATAAGAGGCAAAACAAACACAACTTCTCACAAGGCCTGCCTCAAACAATGAGCCATTGTAGCCCCAGAGGGGAAAATGGGGGCTGTCCAGAGTTGGGACGGAAAGGTAGAGTTGGTGACCCAGCTTTCGGTGGGTGGAAGAGGTGTTCGGTTTGAACCTAGCCAATAAATCTGACAGAGTTCTGCTCTCATTTTATTGATTGAATGCCTCATAAAGGAGGCGGCCGGGTGGGACACTGTTTGTTTAGGGGCAGGCAATGACATTTGTGTTGATAAAATGTTCATTCGTAAACCCCCCCTCCCAGGGCCTCCAAAGCCAGTCTTTTAACCTTAGAGAATATTTCACTTTGAAACAAGCCCCCTCTTTTTCTTCGCCACCCCCTGGTGCTGGCAGGGAGAGAAATTAAGTCAGAATTTAGTGGGTGGCAGGAGATGGAGAGAGGCTTCTTAAACTAGGACATCAGGTGGTGTGTCAGTGAAGAGTAGGGCACAAAATGGCGGTGGGGTGGGGCGATGCTTACAAGGAAAGTGAGAAACACCGACTTTGAAGTTTCTGTGACCCAGGTTCAAATCCCAGCTCTAGCACTTAATAGCTGTGTAGCCTTGGGCAGGTTACTGAACCACTCTACATCTCTCTTAACTATAAAAAGGGGTAATAACAATTCGGTTGTTGGGGAAACAACTGTGATAACAAGGGAAATAGCACAGTGTTAAATATTCAAGTGACTGGAGTTGTTGTTAATGTCAGTGTTCCTGTCTTTACATGAAGTTTTCTATAATCATAACCAGAGCCCACACCCAGATGTAAGTTTAGCACACTTGGTGAGGAACAGGCTCTTTTTGATTTTGAATTTTCAAGGCTCTAATTCTCCTAACAGCACAAATGCAAGGGAGCGCAGCCCAGGAGAGAAACAAGCATTACGACACGACACGAGCAAGGGCAGGAAATGGAAAACTTTATTCTTTGGGTCATGCTCTGTTTCAGTGGGGGGAGGAGCTGCAGGTTCCTGGCTTCCACACTCAAGGTGGAGCCGCACACATTCCCTCAAGGTGTCTGACCCAGGGGCAGGTGGGGGCTGGCGTGGGGGAAGGGGACGGGGAGCAGATGCCATTTTAGACCTTGACGTGTGTGCTGTGTAGGCAACACAGGAATGGTGAGTCACAGGTGATTGAGTCCCCAGCTCCCTGGAGGAAAAACAAAGTGTAGTTTCCAAGAGGAGTGCTGGCTCGGCCAACTCTCGTCTCAGGGGACACAAGCTGCTCTCCCTGGCAGCGGTCTGTGCAAACAAAAATGGAAAGGCACTCCTGGGGGAGGCATTTTGTAGCCCCCTTGCCCTCCCCTTACCCTTATGCCTTTTCTTCATGAAGAACAGGTTTGTGTGGCTACCTTGTCAGAGGCACAGACAAATCTTCATGAATCACTTTGAGACTCAGACAGGTTAAGGGTAAGGATTGCCCAAGCTGCCCTGGGGAAGGGGGTCTTGGGGAAGAAGTCTTGACTTCTCAGTGCATGAAACCCTTCAGGTCTCTGCTTCTATTGCCTGAAGGTCCTTGGGGTTTCCCTTGCACCCTCCTGCTCTTTTTCCTAAGTGGCAAGTGGCCTCACCCGGAGCCAGGGCTGCTCCAAAGGCAGCCTGCAAACATGCTTTCTGCTTCCTGTTCTGCTCGGCAGTGCCCTAATGGCCAGTATATTATTGGATTGATGATTGACCGAGAGAGTACACCTCAACGTTAGCAAACACCTGGAAGCTTGTTTGCAGGGACCAGCTTTTTACTAGTCTCCAACACCCCGGCTTGTATGTTATGTCACTCTTACTAGATTCCCAAATTCAAGAATCTGTTTTCTGTTAATATCTAACAGGTGCATCACAGATTGTGGCCCACCAAGGCAAGAGCGGAGTATGGTTTAAAATAACACAGGCAAGAGAACTAGTGTGTCCAAGCCTTGGGCTCCGTGATTTACCAGCAATCAGATAGATATTGCTTAACTTTAGTTTCCTCATCTATAAATGGGGGATAATAATGCCTGCGTCATGGGGTTGGTGTGAGGGCTGCTTATAGCTCTGCTGTTGTTTGAGTAAGCCCCATGCGAGGAGTGACAATCTCTTGTGTACTAACTTTCATTGGGACTTGATTGGAAATCATTCCCCAGCTATTAGTTTCAGAAATACTGCTAATCATCTGAGCTCTCCTTTGCATTATCTGTCCCCTCTCCCATAGCCAAATGCATTGACAAAAAGCTGGCCAGGCCAGATTTAGGGTTGCAGTTTGTGTGTGTTGAACCTTGGGGTTTTTTTCATAGATAATTTTTTTAATGTTTGTTTATTTTTGAGAGAGAGAGAGAGACAGAGCACGAGAAGGGGAGGGACAGAGAGAGAGGGGGAGATCCAGAATCCGAAGTAGCCTCTAGGCTCTGAGCTGTCAGCACAGATGCAGGGCTAGAACTCATGAACCTTGAGATCATGACCTGAGCCGAAGTCAGGTACTAAACCAACTGAGCCACATCCTCCGGGCTTTTTTTTCAAAAGCACATACTGGGGTGCTTGTCTGGTTTCACCAGTGGGGCATGTGGCTTTCGATTTCAGGGTTGTGAGTTTGAGCCCCACGTTGGGTATAGAGTTTACTTAATAAATAATAATAATAATAATTAAAAAGCGCATTCTGTATTCTTTCACATTGAAGCAGTATAGACTAACTGTGAAAAGCCTAACAGTGAAAAGACAAATGGCCTATTTTCGATGCCAACATGACTTCTTGAGCACATTTCTTCACTTCTCACAACTTCAGTTTCCTTGTCCACAATGTATGGGCAATAACACTAACCTCTTAGGCTATAGGCAGTAAAGCATAGGTGACAGTTCTGCAAGTGGCAGCATTCATGTAATTCAGACTCAACTGTGTCCTTGGCAGCCCTGGGTTTCCTTTAGTCCTGGAGGCAAATAGAAAAGAATGGTTGCATTTAGAGTGGAAAGGTACTTGACCAAGGTTACCCCCAAAATAGTAAGTGTTTGAACTCTAGCAAAGCTGAGTTTTGAATTCTGGCTTCCTCACTCACTAGTCAAGGGACTTAGAGCTAGTCTCTCTACTCTTCGAGGGATCAGTCTCTTAATCTGTAACATAGGGGCAGTGATGATAATACCCTCCCTAGCCGTGTCGTTACCTATCGAGGACAATCAGTGGAAGCACATTACAGACTCTGAAGCCATGCACATTTAAGTTGTTTTTATCATTGACATCTGCATTTGTCTTTCACCGTTAAAATCAAACATTGAAACAGGAGAGATTACCGTCACTTCATTGACTTTCTCCAAAGGACTACATTACCCAAAGGAAGTCTGAAGGCAGGTTACTGTTTTTTTTTTTTTTTTTTTAATGACTCTGACATTTTGAAAAACAAGTCCAGCAAACAGGCTGGTTCTCTCTTGTTTGATGTGGTCAGAATTCCTTCTTGGTCACGTGACACCCCCCAACTCCTTTCTTGATGCCCATTTTAAAAACACAAACAAACCTGTTTGGTTTCTTTCTTTCTTTTTCAAATTAACCTTGGAAGCTATGGGGCTTACCAGAAGGTCAGGGTGGGAGATAGTGTCTTACCTGGGTGCTTGTGTGCCACCTATATAATTTGAAAAGCTCTGGGAGGAAGGGCAACTGGATTACTCAGGCATTGAGTGTTTGTATCCTAACCCTGAAACATTTCCCAGTGGTCCTGATACCATCAAGAATGTCGGGAGCAGTTCACAATGATGGCAGACATCTATTTTCCTTCCTTCCTACCTTCCTTCTTTCCGTCCTTCCTTAAGATTTTATTTTTAAGTAGTCTCTACAGCCAGTGTGGGGCTCGAACTTACAACCCTGAGATATCAAGAGTAACGTGCTCCACTGACTAAGCCAGATAGGTGCCCTGAAACACCCTTTCTTAATAACTTTAGAAGTTATTTTAAAACTATAAGTATTAAACTACTTCATCACCAAAAATGTGTGTGTGTGTGTCTGTGTGTGTGTCTGTGTGTGTGTGAGAGAGAGAGAGAGAGAGAAAGTGATAGCTCCTTATAATTAATGGGGAAACATTGGAAGCATTTCTGAAAACATCGGAATCAAAGCAACTACATCTATCACAGCTGTTACTGTTTGATACTATTAAGAAAGTTCTAACCAATGCAATAGACATGTAAACATATTAGTACTAGCAAGGAAGAGACCCTATCAGCACATATGCTTGTGATGTCATTATATGCTTGGAGAAATGAAGAGAATCAATAAGGAAAAGACACTATTAGTAATAAGTAAAAGGATTTGATCCCAAATAAAAGGATTCAAAGTGGCCATGTAGGAAGTAAACATGTTAAAATCAGTAGCTTTCTCTTACTAACCTGTCACTATAATATAATGGTGAAACAGAATGGGGGCACCTGGGGCCGAGGGCTTATTAGTTAGTAGTTTTGTCACTACAAAATCAGTTCCTTCACCAAAAATATAAAAATTTTTAATGGAGAGTGGAGATTTGGAAAAGGTAGAGAAGGCCAATGATGGCTGATTCCCCCCTAACGCTTGGTCATAATTGCAGTGTTAGGGAAAGGTTCTCTCTAAAAGGTAAGAACTCAAATTCTAGAGGCAGACAGGCCTGTGTTTGAATACCAGATACACTACTTACTAGGTTATTGGATCTTAGGCATTATACATATCTACTCTAAGCCTTGTTTGTTTGTTTGTTTTTTTATCTGCCTCAAAGAACTATCGTGAAGTTTATAAGTTAATGTACAAGTGGTACTTAGTGGAGCCTGTAGTCCGTGAAATCTTTCCTGCACTCACTTCTGCCTGGTCCCCAGTCTGCTCTTACTAGGGAATCCTAGAGTATTTCTTCAGTTACTATTTTTAGCAGCCACATGTCTTTAGCACCAATAATATAGAAGGCATAGAGCAGAACAGAGGATACTTCCAAATTAAGCAAGTGACAGTCCTATAATACCCCATGGGCAGAAGAATCTCTAAGGCAGGCTAGGAACTCAAAGATAGTCACCAATGAGGGGCACCTGGGTGGCTCAGTTGGTTGAGCCTCCAACTTTGGCTCAGGTCATGATCTCAGTTTGTGCGTTCAAGCCCCACATCAGGCTCTGTGCTGACAGCTTGGAGCCTGGAGCCTGCTTCAGATTCTGTGTCTCCTTCTCTCTCTGCCCCTCCCCTGCTTATATTCTGTCTTGCAAAAATAAATGTTAAAAAGTTTTTTTCAAATAAAAACAAAAGATAGTCAACCAGTGGAAGCCACGTAAGGGAAGGGATTATTGGGTATTTTACTTCTCTATCTCCAGCATCTAGAACTGTGCCTCAGTGGATATTTAATAATTGATATTGAATGAATGAATGAATGAATTAGCTATGCCAAAGAATTGTTGTATCATGATATTATAAATTTTTTTTAATATTTTACTTATTTGTGTGAGAGAGAGAGACAGCACACGAGCAGGGGAGGGGCAGAGAGAGAGAGAGAGATAAAGAGAGAGAGAGAGAGAGAGAGAGAATCTGAAGCAGGCTCCAGGCTCTGAGCTATCAGCCCAGAGCCCAACACAGGGCTCAAACCCATGGACTATGAGATCAAGACCTGAGCTGAAGTCAGACGCTTAACCGACTGAGTCCCCCAGATGCCCTAAGCCATATCATTTTGGACACTGCTCTTCGCAATCTCAGTTCCACTCATGGTGTTCTTGTTTTTTCTCTCTAGCAGATCTCAGTCTCAGGAGGTGGTCTGCCCCCCGTCAGCACCTTGACGAATATCCACAGCCTGTCCCACCATAATCCCCAGCAATCTCAAAACCTCATCATGACCCCCCTGTCTGGAGTCATGACCATTACACAAAGTAAGTTCTGTTCTTGGTCAGAAAACTTTGGGGGTGGGTAAGGAGAAGAAGTGTAGGGGAAGTAAGTCAACCTGAATTTCAAAAAGGTTTCTAGAAGACCCCCTTCAAATTTGTCCACTGCTGAGGGATTTGATCCCACTTGTTTAGTTCCTTCTCTCTCTCCTCAACCATACTTGGATTGTTCAGCCTGAAGAAAGAGAAAATAATGAAATCAAGTTGAGTCTTGGGCACGGCTCACCAGCTGTGCATCCTGGGGCCAATCATTAACCTTAATGAGGTTCAGTTTCCACATCTGGAAAATGGGTTGCTGAGATGATCAAATAACAGTGCATAGAAACATGCTTCCAAATCTATAACAGATGAGTATGTATAGTATCATAGCTTATACTTTTGTCTAGTGTTCATTTCTACCCCTAAGCCTGCGGTGGATTTTCCAGGAAGTTGGGTTGATGTTTTTTTGTGTTGCTCCACAGCAACAATGGGGTTCCTTCCTTTTTTTTTTTTTTTAAATTTTTTTTAATGTTTTATTTATTTCTAGGAGAGAGAGAGAGAGAGAGAGAGAGAGACAGCGTGAGCAGGGGAGGGTCAGAGAGAGAGGGAGTCACAGACTGAAACAGGCTCCAGGCTCTGAGCTGGCAGTCAGCACAGAGCCCGACGCGGGGCTCGAACCCACGAACCGCGAGATCATGACCTAAGTGAAAGTCGGACGCCTAACCGACTAAGCCACCCAGGCGCCCCACGATGGGGTTCCTTCTAAACAGGGAATTTCGTGTGGTCATGGAACATCTGTTTGCCCAGTGGTGCAAGCACAGTAAGAGGGAACTCTGAGGAAAACTGGCAGGGCATCTCTGAGTCTTTAAGGAGATACATGGCTGGAGACTGGTGGGTGGATCAGGTCTGGGAGGCTCTCATTCCACATCCTCACAGATGGGCCAGTTCGGGACATTGGAAGGCTGACGGGGGCCATGTCTGTGGATGACACTCTCAGAATCCTAATGTTGATGAGTGCTCAGTGTGTTTTCAGCTTGGTCGTGACGGCCCAGGCCAAGTCATCACTGTGACCCTGGGAAATGCTCCCAAGAAGTCTCAGGAAGGCACATTGCTCATCTTTCTTTTCACTGATATTGCCCCTTTGTCCTTGTGGCCACACTGACCCTCTTTATTTTATCACCTTTTCCTTGTTCTCTTCTCTCTCTCTCTAAATCAGCCCCAGCCAAGGTAGCAATTCAGATCACTTCTGAGGAGAGTGGCTTATGTGTTCTTTGAGGGAGGCACAGCTTTAACTGAATGATCATGTGTGGCTCTTGCCATCCTCAACTGCTCAGAAATGGATGCACCCTGCATTTCTTTTTGCAGCGAGAAATGGGACTAGAGGAGCATTTAGAGGGCTTACAAAAAAAATATTTTAAGCTTACTGCCTTTTCACAGGAATATGGTAACCATACCAACACCAGGGTTTGAGAATGAGATACGATGCCTGAAATCTGCTTGCTCACCTTCTAGAATATTTGAGTAAAAGACCCATGAGTAAGATATACCACCTCTTTTTTTTTTTAATGTTTTATTTATTTCTAGGAGAGAGAGAGAGAGAGAGAGAGAGACAGCGTGAGCAGGGGAGGGTCAGAGAGAGAGGGAGTCACAGACTGAAACAGGCTCCAGGCTCTGAGCTGGCAGTCAGCACAGAGCCCGATGCGGGGCTCGAACCCACGAACCGCGAGATCATGACCCAAGCGAAAGTTGGACGCTTAACCGACTAAGCCACCCAGGTGCCCCAAGATATACCACCTCTTTATTTCCACAACCAAAATGACACACGAACATCCCACTTACTTCCTTTCTTCCCACATCAAGCTTTGGCCGACATACACACAATTACGTATTTTCTTAGGCACTATCTGAACTAAAAATTTTCCATATTTTTCAATTTCGTTCCTGCTAATTTCCTCCCCCACTTGCTGTATTCCTAATCTACTGCGGGTGGGCAGCACCAGAGTGTACTGGCCCTTGGAAGGATGTGCGCACGCATGTGCGCACGTGCGTTTGCTTGGAGCAGAGGGAGCATGAACAATGGAGAGGGTCACCAGAAAACCCAACTGAGACCCACAGTCCTACCCTACAGAGTGTCAGGATGAAGAATTGCTCGCAGCGACCCACATGTGACCAACTGTTGGGTGGAGTGTGGCCCATGGAGAATTTGGTAACAAAGGACCCAGCACTGTCGACTCCTCACTCTATTCATCCGCTGGGCTGGACAACATGCTTCTCAGGCAGGAGCTAGTGCACAGGAAGCAGGGGAGAAGGCCAGGAGTCACACTCTGCGGGAGCTGGAATGACATCAGTGGCTCTCCATCCTGGAATTGAGGCACAGCAGCCTCACAGACTGTGTTGAAAATAAGATTCCTGGGCCTCACCTCGGAAGGTTCTGACTCATTAAGTCTTGGGTGAGGCAGAGGAATGTATATTTCTTAGAGCTCCCCCAGATGACTCTAAAGCACAGGCAGGTTTCAGAACTGTGCCCTCAAATGTCATCCACTCTGGGCAGGGTAATTTGCTTTTCCGGGCAGGGATTTCCCAAAAGAGCAGTGGTAATGGGCTCCCCCAGGGGAACAGCAAGCACCTGGAGCCTCCCAGGAGACGGAGAGCACAGTGGAAGGCAGGCGAGGGAAACAGGATATCAGGGTATCAGGTGAGCCCCTGGGGAATGGGAGATAGTGCTGGTCTGAGGGAGGTCAGAGAACCCAGTCCCATCCTCACCCAGGGGAGCTAGGAAGGGGCTTCTTCTTCCTTCAGTTCTGCTCAGGAGTCTCGACTTTTAGGTTCCTGATAACAGTATCAGCTAAAGCCCTGAGTAAGCAACAGCTGAGGTCTTTGTGCTATCTCCGTGGAGGACTTCCCACAACCCACTTCTGGAACCCTCTCCATTTCAGGAAAGGCTCTCTAGGTGTCCCTTCCGTACTTGCCTAAAAGTGACCTTTTTCTGGATTTTCTTCTTCCTCCCATCCTGCCCCTCATTTCACAGAAAGCAAGATCAAGGGAACATTGACGGTCCCAGGAAAGAGGTCGGGGTGTCTTGTCCCTGATCCTCTCATCCCTACTCCCACGCTGCCTCAGCTGTCTTCCCCACACTGGGACAGGGGACCAGAAACCCAGTCTCTGCAGTGCCAACCCCATTACTGAAGAGGCTCGGGACACAGGCACAGAGCAGTACCACAGAGGCCTCACACCCCCAGAGCAGAAAGATGGCAAGAACCACTGTAAACTGCCACCCTTTCACTTACGACTCCCTCCTCCCAGTACCTGGACTCTTGATGCCACAAGCCCTGTGCTGCCAGATAAGTTACATCCACTTCATAGACTGGCTGAGGTCTGCTGTTTTTTCTGCTCTCTGCTATTGGCAAGAGAAGGAGCACCTGACCTCTGTCAGGGTCTTTGCACAAGTTCGCTAAATGAAAGTCTTCTCATTTGTGCTTCTCGGACTGTGGAGGGGTTTTATTGTTTTGTCAAAATGTGAGTTCCTGATCACTCCTGCCCTCTGCTGGACAGACAGGCCTGGGCACTAATCTGCAGCCTTTGACTTCCGTGAGGGCACCAGGCAGCCCTCTCTGGGAGTCAGGCCTGGAGAGAGCGGGCAAGTAGAGGCGGCTTTCCCAGGGCCCTGGCAACCTCAAGGGAAACAGGTTTGGGAGGTGCCAGGATGACTTTGGGAGACTCTCAGGCCTTGGATCCGTGTAACATCCACAACTCACTGTGGAATTCGAGTGAGTCGATTTCTCCAAGCCCCAGTTTCTTTATCTGTACAATGGATCGTTTCCCGTGCAGTCTCTCAAGCGAAGCTCAGCCCTGCCTGGCTCACAGCAGGGGCTCAGTGGGTGACCTCAGCCATGCACTCACCCCTCCCCTTCCCCGAAGACACCTCTGATCTTTCCTTCTTGCTCCCATAGGCCTCAGCACCTCCCAACCACAGAGCGTCCCTGTCATCAACAGTGTGGCAAGCAGCCTGGCCGCCCTGCAGCCTGTCCAGTTCTCCCAGCAGCTACACAGCCCTCACCAGCAGCCCCTCATGCAGCAAAGCCCCGGCAGCCACATGGCTCAGCAGCCTTTCATGGCGACTGTGACTCAGCTACAGAACTCCCACAGTAAGGACGCAGGCGGGTTGGGGTGGGGCGGGGGTACCAGAAAGGGCCCTGAGCAGCCCAGCCCTGCCCTCTCTGGATCTGTACTTGCTTGGAAGTACGTTGATTTGGTCACTTCTCTCTACCTATATCGACCCCGACAGTGTCTCAGCTTGACCTTCATACGGTCTGTGCCTTTCCTAGTTTGGCCTTCCTAGATCCCCATCACCCCGCCTCCATGATTCCCAGGGGAAGGTTTGAAGAGCACAGTTGAGGGCCCACATGTAAAGCGGAGTTAGAGACAGAAAGCAAGAGTAGCACATGCGTGGGACACATGCCACGGTTGCCCACTCTGGCACCCACGGAAGATATCACCAGTCCACAACAGCACCTTTTCCCGACAAGCCTCAACTTAGCCTTTTCAGCCTAAAAGTCTGAGGAGCCATTCCCAAATGGCACGAGTGAGCATGCAATTTGCATCCCATTCGCCCTTCCTGAAATGGAAGAAGCTTCTAGAATCTTCTCCGATGCTGTCCAATTTACGCACCCCAAACATCTCTAATCGAGAGTCCTGAGCACAAGTAAAATACTACCTACATGCCTTCCTGGTTAGGGATAACAGGACTTCTGCCCTCCCCTAGTCCCACCCAGGCTAGTTCTCATATCCTATTTCTATACCTACTTTAAGTCCTATCTTTCAACCAGTTATTTCCCACTCACTGCCAACCACTAGATCTCTGCCCTCCACATTGAGCCCCAGACCCCCAGCCCTCTGGCCTACAAGTCTGGGCAAAAATCATGGCAGGCACCATCCCACAGGAACACCAAAAAAGTCTCTGTAAGTAGAGTGATCATCTCTTGAAGTCTGACACACCTAAATTTAAATCC